TTGCCACTACACAACCAGACCAGCAGGCATTCTGTGTATAACCATACGTCACAAATACCAATACTTACAGCAGAGAACGTCTTTGGTCAGATGTCTTTATTACAGCATCTACATTATATTCTATTCTGTGCGTACACTAATACACAGCAGTTTAGTGTTCTACAGTCCTCAACATTACTAAAACCTTGATGAACATCTCTGTACTGTTTCAAAGATTCCACCAAGAGGTCCACTGGTCACTAAATAGTTAATCCTACAGGAAGGAAAATGTCCTCCTGTACAAAACACTGCACATCTTTGTTAGATGCTGAGTTAAAAACCAGGAAGACCAAGAGGGAAGATTTCATAGTAAACAGCCATTCTGAATGCCACTCTGAATAATCAATAAATGATGTCATGTATAGTGATGGACAGGAAGTCATCTATCCAAACACAAATACTAACTGCTCCCTAATGTGAAGCTCAGAAATGATAAAATAATGACAGCTCCCTGATTGTATTGATTTTGGTAAGACTGTGACTAATGATAAGAAAAGTCTGGCTGCTATAGAATATAAACTTTTATAACTGGCACATTCATAATGTCTTAGACTGAGCTTAATAGTTTCATTGATGTTTACTAAAATGTTGACTTTTTCTTGCTAAATGCTTTCATTTTTCTTTTACTGCCAATATTTTCTAATAATATCAAGAGAAATTTCCTTACCATTTGTATGTAAATTGTACTTAGATTATAAGGTAAGCTGTGCTGATATCTATTCCACAAAGAGTTTGCACTGAAGTACAAAAGATTTGACAATCAATTTACCTGCCACATAACAGAAAAGCAATCCTGTTGCATGTAAGAAAAAAATCCCATTTTTTTTACATCATGTTGCATGCTATATCTTCAGTGCTCAATGAAGAAAAGTCTGCATTAATGCAATGAAATGTTTTGCACTCCATAATTGCTCCATAAAATGACAAGTTAGCTCATTGCACTTCAGTGCAAAATCTTTTGATCTATACAAGATTTTATATAAAATGTGGCTTCCCAAACATGACTAGGCCTTTTGGCTCATTAGGTACTCAGAGAAGCATATTTAATCCGAAATCTTAAAAGTCTTCCAAGTTCAGATGTATAGCCCTAATCAAAAGTTTGTCATTTATCTAATCTGAAGACCAATCTCTTTTTCAACATGCTGAACCCATCGAGCCAATTATTCCTCCCAGAAGTCTCACAAGAGAGACTTTTTTAGGTTATAATTAGTCAGATATTCATACTAACTGACAATTGACTTTGTCATGTGCTGGATACCAATTCTGCTACAATAACTAAAGTTTACAATTCATTCCAAACAGTTTCCTAAAATTTAATTAGAATTCTGTATTTACACAACAAGTAAATTAAGTTCCATTATAGATCTGCCATGTTAGCAGTAAAGCAAACATCTCAGCAGGCAGAATGACCTTCACATCGTAATCCTTCCATTCTGACAACCATACCCTGTGTCTTGACCTCAGTAAAGCCCTTTAAGTTTGTGTTTGGTTGATTCAAGTACCAGTCAATGGGCAACATATATACACTAGCAGTATAATCCTACACCATGGTCTAACTACACATAAAGTTGTAATGCTATCAATACATAACCATTTAAATGATGTCTCCTCCAAAGTACCATGTCTTTCTCACAACAAATGATTTCATTTTGGTATGTTTATTCAAAGATTCATCATTTGAAATTCTTCAGATCATTTAATTTCTCAGTGTAAATACATGATTTATAAAATATAAACATATACAATGTGTGCATATCTAATCCAAACAAATATGTTTATAAATTTTTATGGTTGGTTGCCTGAAGCTTCAATTTCTAGAAATTTATGCAAATTCTGAAAACCAATTTTCTTTTCTCATTACATTAAGAAATAATGTGATTTAGAAAGAGGACTATTTTGTGGTGTGGACGTGTCATACAGCTTGTAAGAAAGAGAATTGGAAAGAGAAGTAACCATTTACTGTCCTCTTGACTGATTTTTGCTTGACACTTAAAATTGTAGTCACACTCAACCAGTATAAAAAGAAGCTTGTGTCATTACAATCACACACCATCCAGTCAGATGATCAGGCTTCATCCCAGGAAGTCATTCAAACACGAAAGATTATTTTTCTTTTTCTTTTTTAATCCAAGCAAGGATTTTTATTACATTAATCCCATATCAACAAGTTTAAGACCAATGGGAAGTCTGAAGTGCCCTAAACCACAATGTAAGACATAAGCAAATTACATAAACTTCAGTACAGTATCTGGGACAAACACAACACATAATCCTACCCTTCTGTCTAATGTCAAAAGACCAACAATAAATTGATAAGGTACTAAAACCATGTCTCTTAATCTTACCTTGAAAAATTACAAAAAATCCAGAACATTTCAATTCCACATTGTGGTAAGGTCCTATGCCTGTATGACCTGTAGATACACTGGTAGTTTGTATACCTAACCTGACATCTACAGTTTTCCTATAACTTTATCAAACACTTTTGTATTTAACTCACAGAAGTAAATCCCAGTCCATGTTAGCATATCTGTAGACTACGATAAAAGTATTTATGTGAGTAAATGGTGACTTGCCCAACACAATGATTGCCAATAGAGTCAGTTGACTATCAGATTTTCTCAGCAGGGTACACCAGGGACTATGCACCCCATCTGTACCAGGATGGCTGTCTGCCAAGATTACACTTGTGTCACTGTTACCACACCACTAAATCCGAAGACATTCCAAAGTTCCACTCAGCAACAACTGACAGTTCTACCATCAGGCTTATTAGCCTGCTATCTGACAACTGTAATTATACACAATACACAGTCCTCACATACACAACACACAGCAGAACAATACATTGTAGTTCAAAGGGCAATGAACAGCAAAATAATACATTGTAGGTTCATAGGGCAATGAACAACAAAATAATACATTGTAGGTTCATAGGGCAATGAACAACAAAATAATACATTGTAGTTCATAGGGCAATGAACAGCAAAAACAAACAATACAAATAAAAATTAGGCACTCATTCATGTGACTTGTCACATGATATTGTAGAATTTTCAAATCAAGTATAATACATATTTCTCTACACTGGTTGTCTTTAATGCTGGCAGCACTTCCTATGGAATACTTACAACCAAGAATTTCTATAGATTTTCATGACCACGTAATGAATTGCCTAATAAAGCTTAAACTGGCCCACAGTATCCAAAAGCCAAGCCCAACAATCTATTCAAATACTCCTTCTGAGACAAATCAATGTTGACTGAACTCATAAGTTCCGAAGCCTTGTGACACTTATAGTTTCTACAGGGTTCCTACAGACTGCTGGAGATTGCCATAGAAAGCTGTCTGTGATCACTATGGCAGACTTGGAAGAATTCCCACCTACTCATTTACCCCTACAACATCTAAGTCACTACTAAAACAATGACAACATGCCACACCTCAGCCACAACACTGACTTTATATAACCCTTCCACCTAGCTATAAAACTCATATTAAATGGTACTTGATAATTGCATTAAAACTACCCCCGGAATTTGATTTTCATTTTGAAGTCAGAGTTACGGGGAAGAAAACATATGTTGCATAACTCTGGACATGAGCCAGGAAATAAGGTGTTACATGTGCTGGCATCCTAACAAGAAGTGGAAGCTGCCAGACTCTATTGGTACTATTAGGTGTTGTTGTACAACAGTTTATTAGATTCATTAGCAGTAACATAATAGTAGGATTCCTAACCGCTTGTATTTCTAGCCAATCTTAGCTTGAGAGCACAAGTGGTTTGTGTATGTTATACGAGACAAACCTAGACGCTGATAGTATGAATAATTTCTTTATAGATCCAGAGATATATCACATACAGGAAATAAACAAGAGGCCCAACAGGCCTACATCACTAACCTGGTATGTTTTTTTCCACAAATATCTTGATATTTCACATTGTTTACGTTCAAAAGTCTTGATTAATGAGAAGTTTTTAAAGTTTTAACATGTATTTTGTCGAACTTCATTCCAGGAAAGCAAATATCATGGTTCTAGGTCTTTTGGTTTTCATTAGAAGGTCATAACAAAAGTTGACTTGTTTGTCAACATCATTTTTCATTGCCAACTTTGCCAGATTTCATCTCAGAACTTCTCAACCAAATATGATGATTCTATACCTTTTAGTTAATCAGAAGATGCCATTTAAAGGTTATAACAAATTTCAATTCTATGACTTGACTATGGGTGAAGGTCATTTCTTTTTGCAATTTTTGTCAGACTTCATCCAAGAAACCTTTAAGCCAAATACATAGATTGTAGGCCTGGACACTGCACTAAGGCACATGTTGGCTTCACCCTTCAGACCACTGGTGCTAAAAACCAAGGATTTTTGTGATGAAATACACAGCTGTGATTTTTTTTCATCAGACACACACAAGAACTAAGATTATCATAACAAAACACATATCTCTTACACATTTAAAAGTAATGCTCTAATGGTCAATAAAGCAGTAATTTTGGTTATCACACTGACAGATAAAACATTATCAATACAATTACATTCACAGACCAAAGTACTACTGTACTTATCAAATAACAACAGTGAAACGATGAGAGAGTGCAACAATGATCATCAATACTCAATTTCACTTCCTGATTAGTGTCCTTTGAACTCTACAATCTTTAAGGAGATGTTAGCTAACCATATCAAAACATTTGTATTTGACTATTTTGATCATTAGTTTCCTAAAATACCTAAAATCTACAAAGTTTTGACCACTTTGATGTGTAATTTCTCCATACTTGTATTTGACACTCAGTCAGATTTTTTGTTGTTGTTCTAATAAAAAACAGATTCAGATATCATTTCCATATCTGGTGCATCAGATATTAAGTAAACATTGACTATAAACATTTGCTGCTTGTGAAATGATTTTAAATCAGAAGAGAAATCAACTATCTACAAGTTTTCTTACCGGGTGGAAGATTTTCCCTCTGAGTGCTCTCCCCTCGTAATATTCTGTGTGACTGGTCATCTTGACTTGTGCCATTGGTCAATTCCTCTGTGAAGAAAGTAGCGATGTTTTTCACATTTCTCATCCTTTTACGTGGCCATGTATTACATCCAAGGTCCTTATCAGACTGTTTAGATGAAGTCTGTGGTTCATACCCTTGGTTTGTGTAATTCTCCACATTACCATGATAAGATGTATGACTGTCCTGGTAGGTCATATGCTGGTGGTGGTCACCATAATTTGACTGGTCCATGTGCATCATTTGCTGAGGGTTGTAATGTGTTTGATCAGTACTGATCATATGAGGATGAGGGATATAACTGATGGCTTCTGATTGGTCTGTTTGTATCACATGATGAGGAGCATTGTAATGCATGGCTTCTGATTGGTCTGTCTGTATTACATGATGAGGAACATTGTAATGCATGGCCTCTGATTGGTGGTTATGAACTACATGCTGATGATGGGTATAATGCATAGAGTCTGATTGGTCAGGCAGAATCACACAGTGATTGGGGCTGTAATTCATCATATCTGATTGGTCAGTTTGAACAGTACAAGTGTGGGCAATCCTCTGCTCAGCTATGCACCCCTGCAAAAACAAAATGATTGTCAAGAACACACATAAAACCAATCAACACATTCTCTTGTACTGCTAATCATGAACATTTTTTAATCCGTTGAAAAGTCCTTTTAAATTTACGATAGGTGTTGGTCTATATTTTTTATCGATAATTGTCACTTTATATAAATATAAATTTAAAGATTTCTTTTAAAATTTCCCTACAAACTGTGAGCATCACATGTTTCCTATTACCATACATATTGAAAATCCATTAAACAGACTAAGTACTTTCTGAAACTGAGGATGTTAAACACAGTATACAGGGCTTCCTCTTTCTGCCTGTTTGAATTTGAGTTTTACGATGACAAGCTCCACTTAAGCAGTGATTTTTTTTCCGATTTGATGTTCAACAATGATTGTTTGCCTGCTCATAGCACAGACGTTCATTGGATGAAAGCCCACTAATCTGTTTTATCTAGGGTTTGATTCACTCTCTGCTACAGAGGCATCAATCATATAACAGGGGCTGGCAAACTTTCAAATTCATTTCTCAAATGGGAAAGTGAAAGTTAAGGACACCCAGGTCTGTAAAGACCACCTAGCAGGAACGACACACGGCTGGACAATGAATGAATATAAGTTGGTTATCTAATACATTTTGTATATTGTTATACTTCTTATTGTGTGGGTCTCCAGTACTTACATAACAGTATACTCATTACTGAGTGATTAGAGATTTAGACCTGGTAAGACACTATTTTAAAAACCAGTAAGCCATATTTATATTACTGTTACAGCTTACTTGCGGTATATTCAAGTTTATAAACCACAACAGTATATCACCCATAGAGTCAATTTTTAACAATTATTTTTCATTTGATCCACATATTAGCTGCAGTTGAATATAAGTCGCACCCTTTCTAACGATATGGTAACCGTTATGTTGACCAAAGTTTGTTGATATAACAGACGAGAGGCAATTTATCAGGATTGTCAGTGAAACATGTAATATAAGTTTGCAAATGAATTATACACAGATAATTCTTTACTTTATTGATGTGTTTCAAAAACATAAAATAGCAATTCTCAAATTCTTTTGGCTTTGGAGCCTCCAAAGATTGTCTACGCACAGATATAGGGCCTGATGTTACATGTGGTTTACTTAACAATATCTCCATCAGTGTCTGTACTTTTAAATATTTAGCTAAGGACCTTGCATGCTGACAAAATTCTTATAGTCTCATATTATTTCTTGTAAGTTACACAAAGCCATTCTTATCATAAACAAGCATGGCAGTTGTTCCAGAATTTGACCCAGGATGCAACAGGCTATTGTACGCTTCTGAATAAAACCATAAAAGTTCAGAAAGTATTATTGTGATTCATATTAAAAGGTATGATTAATTAAATCTACAAGAGTGTTATTTTTATTTAAATCTTAAAATCATCCTGTATACAATTGCAAATGATAGTTCTAGACAATTTGTTTCAGTCACAAACACGTGATAATTATATAAAATCTCGGTACCATCTTGTACTGGTGTACTGGTACGCTTCATTTTTTTTATTCTGTCAATTTTGTTTTTATCCACATATAAACCACACTGGTATATAAGCTACAAGCCCGACCACCAAGGGAAAAGGCTGCAGCTTACAATCTGGAAAATACGGCACTAATAAGTCCAACTTATCTGCTTGTCTGTTGATTACATGAAATATCAATATTTTCCATTCTAATACAAATGTTTATAGGTAAAGATAAACATCAGAAATGAATGACAGAATGCAAATGAAGCACATGACAAACACAGACAATTTCACATACTATAAACAAACCAAATTTTAACCAAGGAAATATGTCACCTCGTTCTGAGAGTACACAACGATGCAGAGTTGACAATGTTTGAACTGATGAGGTATAAAACAGAGGTGAAGAGAAATGATAAATTCAGTGAGGTTGTAAAGACGACACTAGGTTACCTGTAGTATGAGAACCTACCATTGGTACAGGTAGATGGATCATGTAGCCTTTATAGTGATAGATCGTAGGCTTGCAAAACAAAAACACCAAGTTACATGGTACAGTGCTGGAGACTGGATTCAAGTCTTAACTAAGGAAGCCATTCATCAATTTTAGGACAATTTCAGGACAAATCAATTTCTATGTACATGTTAGGTTTAAACTTTTGGTACATATTGTATGGGTTACAATTTTAGACTTCCTATAAAAAGCCAAATAATGATTGTCATAAAAACAGGATTCTGAAGAAAATAAGTCCAGATCCCAGTATGTCCTCTACATCACAGGACAAGATTTTGATGGTACTGTAAAAAGTAACAAAGTTATATAAATTCTGCCATTTAAATAGATTTCAAAATTACTTTTAGCAACTTGAAAACAATCTTTTATGTATTGAATTCTTTACAAAAGTCTAAATGACTTTTTCAGTCTATGATAAAAAGGTTGTCTGCTACAATGTGTGTTCAGACTTGGATATCTTAATGTCAGTGTCACAGTAGTAATAGCAGTACCAACATAGAAATTTTCAGGAATACAATAAACATGTTAAGTATCATAGGTACAGATTTTAATCATGCTGGACCACAATCCCAGCATCATCAGTCTAACTGTCTGTGAAACACATGTACAGTTTATAGTTCAAGTTGTTAAAGAAATGCAGCAAAAATAGCACCACTTCAAAACATGTAGCCATTTCTTTTATCGTGAAATGGTAATATGCCTTATTGTTGATTAAGAAAACACATTTATAACTATATCTGTCATCATTTGTTTTTTAAAAAAATCCAAAATTATTCACAACTATATTAGGTACATTTTTTAAAGGATATGCGTAACTTTAATAAAAAGTGGTTGTGGTGTAAATGTTGTACTATAGTACAAGTACCTGTCAATGTATATCTATAGCCTTTACACATAATAAGAGCTAGATATATAGGAGACACACCTGACACTCAGCCATGGCCATGGGTGGTAGTTCCTTGGTGGCCCAAGATGGCATGTTGGTGGTGGTTTGGGCATTGTCCTGTTCCGGGGCCTGCTGGTCCTCGCCCTCTCTCACCTCCTCCATGTGGTACAGCATGGAATGTGACCCAGTTAAGGTTTGTAATGATTGGTAGGCAAGTCAACCATTGATATTTATACATTACTGTCAAATAGATCAGTTATGTTTTAATCAACGTTAACTTAAGCAAATGGAGATGTTCTTTAACATTTTTATTCTTTTAGGGAGGGAGGTTTTGTAATTTTCATTATCTGTATTTCATTTTGAAAAAAAATATGTAAAATCCAGTGTACAGAAGGGTTTATGAGTTAAGAGCTGGCAAACTGATTAACAATACTTCATCCCCATCATATCTGTTTCAGATACAAGTTTTACAACAAAGATACCATTTTATTGTGGAAAAACACTGACCATTCATGCATTCCCAGTGATGCGTATATGCTATAATACCAATGTTCCTGACCCACAAACTGTCATATAATATGTTGCTGATCAATATCTACCACTCTATCCTATTATGATTTTTTTTGCTGTGTCACATATTTCAAACCTCTGAACTATTTTAACACACAATATATATTGGCATGCCAGATTCAAATTCTTGGTGTCTCCTTCCTGAATTTAAAACCCATTCCAATAAATGCTTCAAAGAGGAATGGAATGAACCTTTTAACTGTTCACCTTGAGTGTCACACAACAGACAAGTGTTCAATAGTGATATGTAGGTTAATGATTGTGACATTGATAATGATCCTAACACTGGGGGATCATTTGGATCTACTATATATCTAATATATACAACTGTAATTCAAGTACAAAACTATAAACAGCAGGACATAGCCAAATACGCTACATAATTAAATCATATACAATTTACATTATCTTATATAACCTACATTGTATGTATCTCTACACAGATATTATACAATTTTACATAACCCTACACTGTATGTATCCATACACAGATATTATACAATTTTACATAACCCTGCACTGCATGTATCCCTACACAGATATTATACAATTTTACATAACCCTACACTGTATGTATCTCTACACAGATATTATACAATTTTACATAACCCTACACTGTATGTATCCCTACACAGATATTATACAATTTTACATAACCCTACACTGTATGTATCTCTACACAGATATTATACAATTCTACATAACCCTACACTGTATGTATCCCTACACAGATATTATACAATTTTACATAACCCTACACTGTATGTATCCCTACACAGATATTATACAATTTTACATAACCCTACACTGTATGTATCCCTACACAGATATTATACAATTTTACATAACCCTACACTGTATGTATCCCTACACAGATATTATACAATTCTACATAACCCTGCATAGTTCATACAGTAATATACATATCCCTACATAAATCATAACTATTTCTAGGTTTAACAAATGGAAATGATAACAAAATATGTTTGAGATGAAAATTAATCTGCATAGGTTTTGAATATTTTTATGAACATATGCTCTCTTGAAAAATCTACTCTCAAACCAGGAAGTCAATAAGGACAATACACCTGACAGACAGGAACAGGAAATCAAGGAAGTAGTGTGTGTAACAAAAAGGATATCCTGTCCTAGGCGTACAGAATCCATATGTTCCAATGTCACATACTCCTGGTCATGGATTTGCTGGTCATTCACATATGTCTGCGTTAAGTAAAATAAACACAAAAAATAATTTACAACACATGGATTCCTGATATAACATGAAATTAAATAAACAATACAAACAGGAAGCATTACAAACAAAAAAAAAATTATCAATACACAACTTTTATATTAAACTATACCCATTTGAAGGAGAGCAAAAGTTAATTATCAAAGTGCATAGTATGATATATAACCCAAACATATGTAAGTGTAATCATGGTTTTTGTTGAATCAATGATACTGTAACTATAAAGGCACTTTGCATTCTGGTGTGTTACAAGTTCTAGCACTTAGGTAGTACACACACTACAATGTTGTATGATATTGAACCACAGTTAATAAGGACCCTTGGTGACTTCATTTTACAGCAGAAATATGATTTATACATCCTTCACATTAAACTGCACCACTCTTCAGCAACACCTCACACTAAAAAACTAGCATGAAGGCAATTACAAGGATTCAGCATTGAGTCACCACTGTTATTATCCTATCATGTCAAGCAGAATATCTACCAGATCAAATCTTTATCAGACAAAATCTGCACACTTATCCATTCCTGACAAACATTTCCTGTATACTTTCCCCTTCCAATGGCTGAAAACCATACTTACCCCATTAACTGTGGTGAGATCCTTGATTTTAAACTTGTTAAGGTAATGATCAAATGTTATCACAGCGTGGCGCTTGTCAACAGTCTCCGACTGAAATCAAAAATAGAAATTTACAAAACCACTGTTTATACACTTGCCAATTTCTATGGAATTTCCAAGGGGACATTGCTCTACTTGATATAACCACAGGTTTCTGTAAAGGATGTTATCACTAAAACTGATGTTATTTGTTGATGAGTTCTGATTCCCTGTACTGTAAACTATATATCCTACCAGGTGATGATCCGATATCTAAATGACGATATGTATAAGAAATGTAGGAGATCCTAAATAAGACAGTTAGACCAAGCGTGTGCTTCAATCCAGGCCCGGAAGAGTTATAATTGGTATAAGCTATTAGCTTGTTTGTTATTATTGTAAAATAAAAGTTTGAAGTTTGAATATTTTGAACATTCCTACATAATATAAATTCAATTTTTAAAAATAGTTCTGAGCATGTTTATACATCTTAGTGAGAGATAAGTTGGCACGTTAGCAGAGAATGAGAAGGTGCTAGACAATGTAAAGCATTTCATAGGTCAGTTACTTGATGCTGTGGAGCATGCATGGTATTTAAGGAAGGCATTTCACAAATAAACTGTCAGCATCAACCTTACACAAAATACCACAGTTGTCAGTCCATAAACTACAGTTCAAAATCCATCGTCAAAATGTGCTGAAAAGATTTATATCCTTGGTGGGCCATGTACCCATATCTTACCCTTCTCCATCAATATACTTCCACAGACAATACAACAACTAACAGGAACAAATGGGATTACATTTGCAAGAAAAGTAGATTGCTAGACACAAAATATGCACTTGTACAAATGAAATTTAACCACACAGTTTTTTAATGACTCCATGAAGCCCTGACGTATACTGAATCCGGTATAACATGATGCATCTAGATGAAGATTTGTATGGGATTGAATTATTTAGAGATTTGTGTATACATTCTGCTGACCTGTTGGGCTGAAAGTCAGGAGACTAACACCAAGCATATGTACCATATAAATGCTGCAACAGCAAAGTGGTTTGATGTTCATGCAACATCTTCTGAGGCAGATGATCAAATATACATGATCAAATAGTATGAAATCTAATTGTGAAGCATACTTTGGATTGTGGACAGATAGTGTGATTTTCTGTACAGTTACAGCTACAAATGTCTCCAACCAAAATACCAGTAGGTTCTAGGAACCAAGCTGAATTGATCCAGACCAGATGCAACAAAATACATATAGTTTTTATTCCAAGTCAAGCATTATTAAATTTGTAAACATGCTGTGACATGTATGCATTAATGTTTGAAAGTAAAAATGTTGATATTCTTTATCTCCAAACACTGACTGATACATGTATCTATGCAGGCTTTGAGGTTACTATTGTTGACCATCAGTGATCCACACTAAATACCAGTCTCTTGCAGACTCATCATAAGAGAGATAATTTTTGCTTACATTTGATGTTCCAATTTCATATCTGGAAAGAATTTTCATAAATTTTTAAGTGAATTCCATATGAGGTATGTCATTGCTAGTATATTTACCAATGAAAATACTTTCAACAAAATTATGTTTACTCAAAGGAAAAGAAAAGTAAAACACATAATGTTCCACATTAATACCAATTTACTTTCTGCAGGAGGACAACACTAGATATACTATAAAGGACCAATAGTGTTAATACCTGGGGTATTTCCTCCACACATTATCTTGTCAGTCACTCACACAGGCTACAGGTGTATCCCTTGTTAGTAAGACAGAAATAACCATCCGATCTAGAGAAAAATCCTTTGTGACACATACTTTTATACTAAAGTGTTCCCCTGTCCATTCCTGGTGTAAATGATTGACTTGAGTGTCTGCTACACCTGTAGTAATAAGGTACCAGGGCCTGGTACACCTGATCTAATGACCCATCATGACCAGGCTAGCAGATTGTTATTAACATAGATGAGAAATAGGCCATGTGTGAGGATCTGATCAAACAGTATACAGAACTCCTGATGGATCTACCTGACATCTGTGTACATAATCAAGTCATCTTATGATTATCTCTACACTGCCTCTAATTTGTCAGGTGATAAAAACGATTGCTCCAGTAACACCATTTGTAGGACCATTATAGTGATTCAGGAGGCACAAATAACTGCCTCTGTAACACCATTTGTAGGATCATTATAGTGACTCAGGAGGCGCAAACAACTGCCTCTGTAACACCATTTGTAGGACCATTATAGGGACTCGGGGGGCACAAACAACTGCCTCTCTAACACCATTTGTAGGACCATTATAGTGACTCAGGAGTCACAAACAACTGCCTCCGTAACACTATTTGTAGGACCATTATAGGGACTCGGGGGGCACAAACAACTGCCTCTCTAACACCATTTGTAGGACCATTATAGTGACTCAGGAGGCACAAACAACTGCCTCTGTAACACTATTTGTAGGACCATTATAGGGACTCGGGGGGCACAAACAACTGCCTCTCTAACACCATTTGTAGGACCATTATAGTGACTCAGGAGGCACAAACAACTGCCTCTGTAACACTATTTGTAGGACCATTAATGTGACTCAGGAGGCACAAACAAGTGCAGACTGTAGTTACTGACAGGTCACTCCTTTTGTGTTTCCCTCCTATCCTAATACTATGGTAGGTTTTACAACAAAGTATTTCTTGAATGATACCAAGAATGAAGTTAAGTCAGAAATCAATTTCTTGAATGTATGGAATTTATCTTTAAAGATCATGACCTATAGACCTATATTACTGTAAGAATTGACATCTGACATTCACATATATATGCTAATGTTTCAATAATGATGAAATGAGCAGCAGTAAACTGTATTGATTATGCTGATACCAATGAAAATAAAACCAATATCCTTATTCATGAACCTAAAACATTTTAGTCTCCCTTTTTACATATACCTTCCATTCCAAGCTTTATGATCTAATATAATGGGATTTTTACCTGGAAAGTCCCTGATCCATGGTATTAATCCAGAATGTTTACAGAGTATAACATAAAGTCATTACAACAGTCCTGAGTGTAATATACAGTAGTTCTCAGTATCATTTGAAGTAGTTTGACTCCTTGCTCCAAGTATAGAACATTGTTTATCAAAGTGACGATCGCGATTATCACATTCATCAGTTTGGATCAGTGTCATGAGTATCTAATAAAGTAGTTTGACTCCTTGCTCCGAGTATAGAATATTGTATATCAAAGTGACGATCCCGATTATCACATTCATCAGTTTGGATCAGTGTCATGAGTATCTAATAAAGTAGTTTGACTCTTTGCTCTAAGTATCGAGTATTGCATACGAAAGCAAGGATCTGGATTGTCTCGATTATCACTAACAGTAGTGAAAGTTGACAGAGGGCAAAGATAACAGATATTTCAACATAATCCTCCTCTAATCCCCCTACCAACAAACAAGAGAGACAATCAATACATAACATTCCTTACCTATGCTGCCTTAGTACAAGAGTTCACAAAGTGACCTTTAGTGGTTTGTTTTAAACTAATGTGGTTCCCCTCACTGAAAGCCCTTACCATTTAACCATGGTTTACTCCTCCTCAGGTTTGTTGGAGAATCTTTTGACCAGCATGGTTCCAGTGTAACTTTCCCAGTAAAATCTTGACCAGGTTTGACCACCTGTATCTTGATTGTGGAACAGATCTAATCGATAAGAGTCTTTCCTATCCTTTATGAATGTTTTATCGGCCTGCTGTTCAGCATGCCTACCTTCAACAACCACCAGCCTATCATTATGACCAATACACATACAGATGATTTAAACAAGATAAATCTATTGCACTTCAAAATTCTGCTGATTCCTTGAACATTTTGTATGGTTTTTAACATGCGTGTTTTCCGTGTGATCAGACAGCAGTAAGACTACAAAGTGGTCATCAGACCGTTGATCTATGAATAGTAATATATACCTGTCCAACGGTCGTAAGTCATGCTTACCATCAACTTGGCCCTAAAAAATGTCCATAACTATCTGTACGCTAGGCTCATAACACGTTACCTATGTAAACGTATACAGTTTCAATAGACTTCCAACCTGTACCTTCACCAACTGGGAGTGTTGGGTTGTGTTTGCTAAGTATTGTGACCACTTATTGAAGGTTTACACATCCTCACTTTTTCAGCTCTCTATAACACACCACTGAAGAAGGCCACACCCAATTGTAGAACTGGTTGTCATTCAAATACACATAAACTAAATCAGAACTTCACAAGTTTCCAGAATACAACACTTTTCTATACATCAATCAAAGAAATTGTAAAGTATTTAGCACCGCATTCTAGTCTTTATACCAATGAATCACAACTAGATAAGTATACAGAAAAGTGCACAGGTCGTTTAATTAAGGTGGAAAATAATAAAAGGAATTATACCTATCATATATAGTTTATACTTCATTACTTTCTTTGACACCTTGACAACAGGATACAGAATCTAATCACTGTAACCTACAGCTGCTATTATCAATTCAGCGCAATGTATTTAAGTTAAAAACAAAAATTTACCAGCAGGTAATCCGGTGCTAACTGAGTAATTCATTGTAATCCACAGAATTCTTCATTTGTAACACACCATGTTTATTATACCTCTATGATTTTCTCCTTGTTTACTTCAATAAATGACAAAATAGGTATCTTGTCTGTTATTTCTAGAAATTAAAATATCAAAAGGTGTAAACTGATACACCAGCAGTACAGCCTCCATCCTTACTGTTGTAAAAGTTGTAAAGCAATACACCATTCTTCAACAGGGAAGGGAGTATCATGTCAGGTCAACCCAGGAAATCTAATTTAATATCATCGTCAGACTTTCACATTCAAGGGTCACTTTGTTAGAGCAATCTTACTTTGAAACTCAAGATATTTTATGGTGTAGAAAAGTCTTCTCACATACAAAAGCAACTCAAGATATGTCGGGCCTCTGCTATAGAAAATTTAACTGCCATAAATTCAGTCTGTCTACCAGTGTTATACAATCCTTCAACAGAAATAACTGAACTCTTTGTGAGGTATACATTCATGTTCTTCCATTTTTTAAACGATGAACTTTGCTCCACTCTTTTTTTACAGCTGATACTGCTTTCTGATAACAGCTTTATGAAAATCTGACTATTTCATTATTTTAAAGACTTAAAATATTTCTGTTTCAAAGACAATGACTCCACAAATAAAAACCTTCTTTACAACCTCAATGTATTCATCTTGTTTAGCCTTCGAAAATATCTGATCTACCATCTAGTGCAGTCAGTGAAATATTCTGATTCCCTGCTTTATTTGACCAATAAACTTTCTATTCTACCACCTTATCGGCCAATGAAATATCTTTATTTACTGTCATGTTTGACCAATGAAACTATATTCACCTACAAAATTTTGCATTCTACCACCTTGATCAGCCATTTAAATGTCTCTTTTCGTTCTACCACCTTGTTCAGCAATTTCAATGTCTCTTTTCGTTCTACCACTTTGTTCAGCCAGTGAAACATCCTGTTCTACTATCTTATTGGGCCAATGGACGTTTCCATTCAACCATCGTTTTTCGCAAGTGAAAGTGTCTGTTTAACCACCTTGTTTGGCCAGTAAAACTTTATGTTCTACCATCTTGTTCTACGACTGAAACTTGTTGTTCTACAATCCAGTATGTGTGTTTATCAAGTAAAACACTTCATATAACACTTGTTACCACTTCTATCATAATGGAAATTCAAACCAAAACATTTACATGTTTGTTTAGGTTTAGGTATCACAATCTACACTGAAAACAGCCCAAGGTGGAAAACTATATATACAAACTACTAAAAATACAAAGAGTAAAGTCTATAAGGAGTAGTGGTTGGTGTTTCTGATTAAGTTCCCATTAATATTGTTGTAGAGGAAAACGTGACCACTCCCCACGAGTGTAGAGTTAGATTAATATTTTGGTAACTACAGTTATGTTATCATTATGGGATAAGACCTACATTAAATATGATATACCTAGATTCCCAATAGAAAACACCCCATTTTGTTGTCCAGTATAATAACCACTGTGGATGTAATGGAACTTGGCTAGGTCAGTTACCTTTGACCAGTTATGTTTGGAGAATAGAGTTGGAATCCATGATTGGCCATTTTCATTTCCCTGTAACAATTGTTGAAGTGAACCAACTCTTAAAACAAGATCTGTATTTGTAAGACTGGTAAATAGTGATGGCAGATGTGCCTGATACTCTACAAGTACTAAAGGCATGCCCACCAAATGAGGGCTCTCTGTGTAATTTGAATAGAGGTTTATATCAATACTAAGTAATTTGTTATTTGTAGCATTATGATGGGATTTTTACAGCTTTCACTCTCAACTATACCACGGATGCCATTCACATCTCAGAGACAAGGTGACCCTTTACAATCCAGAGCTGTTTTACATCCAGGTATAAAGATTTTACAGATCTACTTTCATTGCCTTACATAAGGGTTCTACTGTCAACAGGTTGTCACATGTAGACATTGCTCAGACACCTAACATAGATCCTCTTACCCAAAGGTTACACCTCCTACAAAGTTTCAGTGTAGATTAGAGGCAGCCTGGCTTACCCTGGGATCCAGTGTACCACACTTAACCATTAAATCACCACATACCCATTTACTATGTTACCCTTGTAGCCTAAAGAAGTGAGGAAAACCTACCCAGGTGACACAATTAATCAACAGTTTTGTTCAGTATTTAGGGTTCCCTCCCGCCCCCTGCATGGATCATTCAACAACACTGAATGTATACCTAGAAACAGAGCCTGTCTCCTGCCTCCCTACACAGATGACTAACAACACTTTCAACACAGCCTTTGTAAAAACCACATTTGATTGAAATGTAAGATTTAAACTTAAGTACAATAGGTTACTCAGTTTAAAGCATTTTATATCCTGTTACCATCCTTAAGTTCTTGTACAACGAATGCTTTCTTCCGATGCTATCACTTACATTAATATGTAAACAATCCTGTCAGTGTCTTCAATTCATCAACACATGTAAACAGTTCAAGTCATAGAAACAGGTGAAGGGCTTATTAAGGAAGACATTGTGATTGAATTTCATAATACTTATGTACATATGAAATCTCCAGAATGATGTCAGAGCAAGATAACCTCAAATATATACATTGGTAGAAATGTTTTTAATTATTCTTTTTCAAAACACTTCAAACTAGAGAAAAAAAAATGTAATTTAAATCAAGTTATGATTTTTTTTATTTCAAAAAGAGAATAGTGTGTATGTTTACCTCTATGTAAACCCATTGTAGATCAGACTAAATGGAATCATGTTTACATCACATTTACACTCATTTAAAGGTATCAACGTCAATTAGCAGTGCAAGATATCACCAGATAAGACATGAATGTCAACTCACCTGACAGAACTAAAGGGCCATCACAACACATAGCAGATATACAAACTATCCTAACATCAAACCTCAGAACAACAGGACACATGCTGTACAGAGTCAGAATTCCACCTGTAACCATCCTCAACACAAGCCTTCCTGGCCTGTCTGTAGGATTAACATTATACCTATCCTGAAGCCTCTACCCCAGTAATGTAGACCTAATATCAATACCCTGAGTTCACCAATCAATACACCAGTCATAGTAATACACAGCTTCTATTACCCTATATATCACTGGAACGGGACATATATAATCATATGCTTATTTGTACATTTACCTGCTGGTGGTAATTCAAACCAATTTACAGAATGAAAGTTATGACCAGGTAAATAAGGGTACCACCATTATCTTGCTGACATAACCTTAAGTGTAACACATTTGACTAGCCATTGATCTACAGCTTCAGGGGTTACAGCTTTCCACATGGAAGGAAAACACTACTGTTGAGGTCAACTTACCAGGTGATTCCATGTAGAGACCCTGACTGATGTTTCCAGACAGGACAGTATCCCCTGTATGACACTAATGTCCAATCAATTGTGGGAAGACAGATCCCTAACTGACCATGTGACTGACCTCATTCACTGGTTAAACAGGTTTCCATCACAAACATTGACTCACGATCAAGCAATATCTGTATACACACGGTAGTCAGTGTGTAAGGTGTTTGGCTCTAAATAACGGGGCAAGGGGAGAAAACTCTTGTTGATATTAGGAACTTCATTTACATAAAGTAAATATGTTTTGACACTTGCCAGACAAATGGCCTTTAATTGACAGGTTCTGTTTTCATAAAATGTTTGCCAGTAAATTGCTCCTGCTTTCTTCAGCCACAACTAATATTTAGTCTTCTGTTTCATTATAGTCTTCACTGAAGTTAGACTCAAAGTGATTAGAGATATGAACATTTGTTTTTTCTATGAAAGATAGAAAAAATACAAATCCAGATAGTTAGAAGTCTTGTATGTTTTGTTCTTGATTAAATATCTACTAGTATATGCTTTTAGGAATAACTGGAGCACTGAAAATTCTCCAATCATTCAGGAAAGCCATGGTCTTTTTATTGCATTAAACAAAATACAGATCATCAAAAGATAATAAATCAACAGCATGACCAGATAAGTTAACTCCAAAATCTAGATGAACACTCAACGGTCATGACAGGTCATTCTGTACAGCTTCGCAATATATCTCCCTTGTAAATCTATCAACAAAGTATTTATAATCTAAAACATGTAAGTATGGTTTATCACTTGCCAAGTGTACATCAATTATAAAGTTTAGTCAGACATCACTTTACAGGAGAATGAATTCCAAATTGGGATTTTAACACAGCATCAGTGAACTCTAAAACAACACTAGCCAACTCAGCTGTGAAAATCACTGCAGCAAGTCCGGTTACAATCACTGCCACAATGGCTTAAAATGCACTGCCAGAGTATGTTTCTTCATGTTGATGTGTGTATTCTCTCTACAGACATGTTAAATTCTGGCAATTTTGCCAGCTGGTATGATTAATGTGGTATCTGTCTGGTAATATAATAATTTATCATGATCATCTCTGTATCTTCACAATATTTAAGGACTATCAATTTATACGTAAATGATAAACTTAACCATGACCACAATATTTCTATGATAACTCTGATTTGTGATTTCAGGAAATACTGTCAGTCTTTATAAACCCTGACTACAATATTTCTATGATAACTCTGATTTGTGATTTCAGGAAATACTGTCAGTCTTTATAAACCCTGACTACAATATTTCTATGATAACTCTGATTTGTGATTTCTACTGTCAGTCTTTATAAACCCTGACTACAATATTTCTATGATAACTCTGATTTGTGATTTCAGGAAATAAGGGTGATTTCATACTGTCAGTCTTTATGTAACAAATGATATTTCAACTTATAAACCTGATAACTCTGATTTGTGATTTCTGGAAATACTGTCAGTCTTTATAAACCATGACCACAATATTTCTATGATAACTCTGATTTGTGATTTCAGGAAATACTGTCAGTCTTTATAAACCCTGACTACAGTATTTCTCTGATAACTCTGATTTGTGATTTCATCCACCAGACACCAGTCTTTATAAAATGATAAACTCGACTACAGTATTTCTCTGATAACTCTGATTTGTGATTTCAGGAAATACTGTCAGTCTTTATAAACCCTGACTACAATATTTCTCTGATAACTTTAACACCTGATTTAAGGGTATACTGTCAGTCTTTATGTAACAAATGATAAACTTACCCGGACCACAATATCACACTCCTCCCGACCCATAAAGAGCATGGTTTTAGGCAGTTTGTAGCGCTCCCCCTCCCCATCCACCAGACACCAGTCCTCCACCTGAGCTGGGGCAGGGTCCTGTGATAAAAAAAAAGTTAGTGAAAACAAGTAATCCAGACACAGTACATTATCTGGCATGTGTAGCAGAAAGGTTCAATCAATGAGAGGCAAAATAGAAATAACAAGATTTAATCAGATCTACTATAATATTGGAGTTTTTACAAAACACTAGCCTACAGGAAATCCATCAGGGCAAACACGATCCTTATTAAATTGCATGCCCAATACAATGTGTGTTGTGCAGCAGGAAAATGATCAGTGATATTCCTGGCCATTAATTCTTTCCACCATTGGTATCAATCTTAGTGGTTGGGGAGACTTTCAGTCAGTTGGCTGTCAATTTGATTTTATCCCCTACCCTGTTACTGACAATTGACCAGCTGATTCCCCTCTTGGTATTAGATTTAGAGGTTGACACTTCTCGTCCCTCTCTATAAACAGAAAACTATCACCACCTCACCGATACTGACTTTCAGAGTTATAACAACTGACCAGCTGATTTCCTCTTAGTTTTGGATTCAGAGATGGACACTACCCGTCCCTCTCTATAAATAGAAAACTATCCCCCTGCTCACTGGTACTTTCTGAGTTACAATTATTGGCTAGCTAATTTGTTCTAGCTATATGCATGAAAATGAAGATGGATTCTCTTGTAATCCTTCCTCTTTTTCTGTAGACAAAAAAGTATCTCCAACCACACTGGTACTGACTTTCAGAGTGCCAATATTGGTTAGCTGATTCTTTCTTTAGAGTGCCAATATTGGGAAAACTTTCCTCTACTTCACTAGTACTAACTTTCAGAGTTACAATTGATTATTGACCAGCTGATTTCCTCCTCGAATTGGCTTTAGAGATGAAGATGGATTCTCCCCTTATCCTACCCCTCCCTATCTATCAAGGGAAAACTTTCCCCTACTTCACTGGTACTAACTTTCAGAGTTACAATTGATTATTGACCAGCTGATTTCCTCTTCGAATTGGCTTTAGAGATGAAGATGGATTCTCCCCTTATCCTACCCCTCCCTCTCTATAACTAGGTTACAATTGAATTGACCAGCTATTTCCTTTACTTCACTGGTACTAACTTACTAACTTTCAGAGTTACAATTGATTATTGACCAGTTGATTTCCTCCTCGAATTGGCTTTAGAGATGAAGATGGATTCTCCCCTTATCCTACCCCTCCCTCTCTATAAAGGGAAAACTATTTCCTACTTCACTGGTACTAACTTTCAGAGTTACAATTGATTATTGACCAGCTGATTTCCTCCTCGAATTGGCTTTAGAGATGAAGATGGATTCTCCCTTTATCCTATCCCTCCGTTTCCATAGAGGTAAAACTATGTGCCAGGTGTGGTGGAAATGGACTTTCACACTATAAAATTGTTCTCATATACAAACAGCTGGGTTATAAAAAGCACCAGTGTCTAAACTATTCCTGGAGTTTTGTGGTTCATTATAGTGATCCCATAGCTATTATATCTATCTTGTGGTTACGCCTTGCAAGCTATAATATAATTTCATCAACAGTAGAAAATCGTGATATACCTTACAGCAATATTTGATAAATTTTGTAATCTTTGATGACTATAGATACCATAGCTATTTCCTAGAGATTTCGTCATCATTATGGAATGTGATTGTTTAGCTACTGCCCCAGCAACGCCACGATAATGCTAGAGATTAAACTGTTATTGCTTCTACAAAGAAATGTTAATAAAGCTGTAGAACCCTGAAGCTTTACTCTCAAAATATCTACTGTAACTTGTATACAACATTCAAGGAAACAGGCGAGACATTATTCAGTCTTTAAATATGAATCTAGATTATTTTAAAAATCTATCAGTAATAATTGATACCCAAATACTTCATATCTTATAATAGTGACTAAACTCATTACAATGTTACATAAACTTATTGATGGAAATAATGAAAATTTTCCTTTTTCTTTGTGTATATATTTAAGAAGTCATTATCAACCCAAGATCAGTAAACCTACAGGTAAGTTTTTTTTATTTGTACAACTAACTTTTTCCTTCACATAAAGAGGAGATAGTCTAGCACTTATAAATGATCTGTGGACGCCATTGTTGATGATAAATGAGCATCAATATAGAAACTGTACAGTAGTTCCAGACAAATCTTTGTCTAAGTACACACAGACTATTCTCTGTAAACACAAACTTTAGTGGATAACCCTATTTTGGTAACTGTAAATACTTTGAACGGTCATTTATGATAGAGATATGGAGAATTGAAAGATGTCCTCCTTTCTTTCTTCAAATTCTCTTTTTCCATCAAAGGAGTTAGCTAACAACAATGTAACATCCTTTCTAATTAAATGAGCATATATATTTTTTTTGTAATTCAAAGTCAATATATACAATGAAAAGAGATTAGCCAGCTAAAGGAGAATTACTCTGATGAGAGGATCTGTGAGTTTAGGTAAAATTTAATACTGATAGATCCAATATGTGCAACAGGGCATAAGCTGCATTTAAATCATAACATTTATGTTCAAAATAACAAAAGTGTGTTTTATCTTTCTAACTGGTTTTAACAGGGTATAATGTGTCATTTGGATACTAAACTTTAGCATTTATCTCACTTGTAAACCTAACAGATTTTTCAGAGAAGGTTTTGAATCCAGTATTTAGCTGTTTGGAGGGATTAATAGCAAGTTAATATAAAGCGATTTGTAGATATGCAGGTGTTTGCTATCATTGTCCAAATGTAGGTGTGTGCATTTGTGTCTGCTAATCACTGTGATCAATCATGCCATACCGGTGCACCATGGCTCCGACAGAACTGCCAGCCAGAAAATCTATTGATTCTCTACTTAAAAGCTGATCACTTTTATCAGATACCTACTTCACATAGACAAACAATGAACAGATAGAAATCTAGTTTATCATAATGGTATATGTATATCATACATTACACAGGTGAGAACTGAAGCTGATAAACTAGAATCTCGTTATGATTATAGTTTTACAGGTAAACATTTTGGTTTATAAAACATACAGACTGACAACTCCATAGTTTGATATATATTGTAACACTAACTCAACCAGAAATGACACTTGACTAACTTCACTATAGAGATTTGGTTGACTAATGATACCAAGTATAAACCAAATGTATTTCATTTTATTCTTATTAATACCAGCTGCCATCATATATTGTCCTGACAAAAAAACACACCCATTATACAGACTGTCAGACAGATTTCATCCTAGGAGTCATCTGCAGTATGTATGTAAACACGTTTTGTTTGGCTGTGTATAATCATCCAATAAAAAGCAATGGGTCGATGCAAGCCTTAAGCTGAGTGTCTATGGATACATTTCCTGTGGGATGGTTTTACATTCTAGTTAAACCAAGACAGTATAGAAGACATATTGTAAGACTGACTTCCAACACGTAAATGTGTGACCTCTTAATTATGTAACAAGGTGGGACATTCAACACAGGTGGTCACACGGTCTCCATCAAGTCACACACCACCCTACCAATATCACATACTTTCAGGAAGTACCATGCTTTTTCAACAAACATGTTAAATTACATGCTTTATGGAATGTTATTCCAGCCATAACACAGAAAGCAGCTGAAACTCAAAATTATTCCTATTACTAATGTAGCCACCATGGTGTATATCTTACATCATAACTACATAGCAGATTCACACAGACAGAGAAAAATGAAAAATGATATTTGTCTACCATGACGTCTAGTGACAGTAGGGGAAGCTTTAGAATAAATTCTGATCCAACAACCTGCCTCTTCCTAGTGGTTGGTTGGAGTTTCAGGATTCTACATGGCAGTATGGGACAAACATCACAGAGTGAATCATCAGAGACAAACCATGCTTACCGTTTGTTTGCGGTGTGACATCATGATATTGTCAAGAGTTCTGGTACTCCATATCCCTAAAACCCATTGCCTGAGGGCTACACACAGCCCTACATGTATCACATCCTCTCACAGACATGCACCTTCTGTTGGTGAAGACACTCCATGTTTATCCCACTGAACATGCACTGCTGAATTATGTGTAGAAAGTGTTTCAGGGTGATATTCAAAACCAAGCCTACTGATAACACTACACAGTAGTCACTGTGTGGGGTAGGCACTGAGGCAGTTATTAGGCCAAGCAGATAACAGCGCAAGAGGACATGTACAGGTTAACAGACAATGCAATGGAGCAAGACAGCTAGAGATGAGTACAGAAAATACAGCATGCATAAAGATGAGCAGGAATTGAGTACATACAATACAACAGAACAAGGGCAGAGATTAGAATATACAATATAATTAGGCTGGGCAATAGATATTATAGTGCAGACAATATGGTAGGGCAGGGCCAAAAATGAGTAAAGACAATACCATAAGGCAAACAAGGCCAGAGATTAGTACAGACAATACAACAGGACAGGGACAGAAACACATATAGACAATATAATAAATCTGGAGCAGAGATGAGTACAGACAATACAACAGGGCAGAACCAGAGATGAATACAGGCAATCTAACAGGGCAGGGACAGAAATCGGTACAGTCAATACAACAGGGCAGGGGCAATACAACAGGGCAGGGACAGTAATCAGTACAGTCAATACAACAGGGCATGGGGCAAAAATCGGTACAGTCAATACAACAGGGCAGGGACAGAAATCAGTACAGTCAATACAACAGGGCAGGGGCAAAAATCGGTACAGTCAATACAACAGGGCAGGGGCAAAAATTGGTACAGACAATACAACAGGGCAGAACCAGAGATGAATACAGGCAATCTAACAGGGCAGGGACAGAAATCGGTACAGACAATACAACAGGGCAGGGGCAAAAATTGGCACAGACAATACAACAGGGCAGGGGCAAAAACTAGTACACAGACAATGCAATAACAGGACAAGGTAAGACATGAGTTCAAAAATACAATAGGCAGGCTAATTGCCAGGCAATTGAATGTGTACAATGTGGGCAATGCCCCTGATAACTAGAAAGAGAATAGGGACAAGTACATACTAACAATAGGGTAAAGAAGGGCAGGCCAAGGTACAGGCAATACATTAGGGCAGGAATACATGAATGAATAAAGATTTGTATCAAGAGAATTTAATCCTGTTCAGATGCTTGGAGAACCAACTGTCGTAAGATATATGAGAGAGTGATGCAAATGGAAGTCTTTCCTTCCATTCAAATTATAATACAAAATGTAATTATAAATATTGGATTAAGAAAGATGGTTCATACAAATGTATCTAACTTCTGACCCCTGTCAGCCCCAATTAAACAGAATTGGGTCTAGTGTAGGGCTCCTCCGAATGTGGTGAGACAGGTCCTGTGTGGTGTATGGGCCAGTGAGATAACAATCTTGTATACAAACACAGGTGTATGTTACCTGAAGGCGAGACGAGCCTCATTTTACCCCTCACTTACACATTACAATACATATCTATTCTCTCAATGGAGAATCTGACACTTTCTTGGATAAGTCAAATTCATGAATATAATTGTGTGGGTCACATTGTCCCAGGTAGCGTATGTCACCATATCAGACGCATTATCATAGTCATTCACAAAAGTACATGAGGGCCAGTACCAAAACAGGATATTACACCAATTATAACTTTGTATTTGTGGTTATAACTATAACTGAATCAAAATCACCTGTTAAAAAAAGAAGACATCTTCATTATGCTAATGTTGGGTCATCAAGTAATCCTTAAACACTGTTGATATTGACAAATATCTGTTTATAATTACAAGAGTTTGAAGATTTGGAGAAAATATCAACCAACAGAAATCAAATTTATGATAAATATTCCTTCTTAATTTCATTGAATTACAGAAAAATCATAATTATAAATTTTATGAAGAAATGTTTACCATTTCACTTAACAGACGACTGCTCCCCCAAGTCTTGCTCCTTCTCATGGTGAATTTCATCATCAGACTTTCATAACACTTCATTTAAATCCCTGATCATCTCATTAATACTCCACACTACCATGATCAACAGGTTACACAGCCACTTTACCCACGTATCTGCACATCTCTATGTTATAGTAGGGCCACCCCACTACACACAAACATGTTTAAAGTACAATACTCCACATGTTGTATTGGATATACTGTATTTGGATGTCATTCAAAACTCCCAATTTTTTCTCTCCTTCACACAGGTCTGGTATAGTACACATTCTATACTGTGTACAAAGCACCTACCCGACTTGTCTCTTCAAGTGTATGACAATGTGTCTGTAGTTCACATTAAATATTATTTTTTAAATATTAAAAGTATTTTTGACATCCTCCGACAGGTAATCCCATTATTGAGATGTGATTGGCTGTACAGTGGTGTGTCGTAGAGATTTGTCTGGGTAAACATGGGATGTTTAATTATGTGTCGGCTATCAATCCCGCTAAGGTAACTAGGTTCTTCAGGACACGGAAATGAGTCAACTACCACTGCCATACTAACATACACGACATAGACCATTGTCTATGTTCATACGCTGCAAACTGGTTTTTTTTAATTTTTTTTATAAACATAAACAGATAAATTGAGACAGACCAACTACTGTGTGACAGGGCCTGTGTGCTAATTGAATAACTGTTTTTATAAGTCTGCTGTCACAGCAGAAATGCTAGAATACCTGAGACTTGTATCTCAGCTTATCACACGGCCATCTCAGTAACTTGGTGGTGACATTTTGATGTAATGATCCTTATTCATTATTTGTTTTCAGAAGATTAATATAAAAAGAGAAAGAATTTGAACATTGATAAATAATGTCTTTGTTCAATCATGACCTTTGACAACAATTTTTTTAAATATCAGTGACTTGATACTTAATATGCAGTTATATAGGTGTATGTGATACATAGATGTATGAATATTGTATTTGACCTCTGAAGTACCCTATTTAATCATTCTCTGATAATGTGTTGATAAACAAAACACACAATCCTACATTAACAATGATACACATTATCTGGACTGATAAAGCAAGTGTTCACATCAAACAGTAGAGTTATTGTAACAATATGTTGTCTGTCTGGTGCATCACACTCAATATCAGTAAATCACAGTTGCTATAAAATCTAAATAATAATACAGCAATCAATTTCAATTCTATACCTATGGTCTACAGGTCAAATTAAAGCTAATAATGGCAATCTGTGATACCAATTTGATACTCAGGCTGTGTCGTAGTAAAAGTAATACTGAAGTGGGAAAATTATTTCCACAAACCTTGAAAATATTTAAAACAGAAATACCCCAGAAATATGGGAACTAAGCATCATCCTGTTGTTTTCTTTTTGATACTACCTGCTTCTTGCTTGATTAGCTATAGAAAAGTCTCCAAAGCTCAGTTGATATAGCATTAATCAAGTATTTGATTTCAGGTAGAGTCATAGAAAAAGTAATGACCTCTGTTACATTGGACCCCGGAAATGTTAACAAAGCTGATACATGTTGTACTAACATTGTACAATCATCACTTACTCTTGAAACTCCAGGATGAGTTTTTTTGTCATCTGTAACATACTAGCCACTTCCTACTGATTTGCCTTATAGAATTACTCTGTTGGTTAGTCAATTAGGTCAGAGGTTCTGAGTTTGACCCCTAGATAATAGAAAATGATCACCTTTCTACTTTACTGTTAGTTTTTGAGAAATTCCTGGTAAAAAGTAAAAATGATAACCTCACACAATACATGATTTTGAGACAAACAGGCAGATGAAGGCTATGGGGAAGTTTTATGGTAGTCTTAATGACCTTATTGAGAAATATATGCTATTTGTTTCTGTGATGTGAACAGAACATGTTTGATGTTCATTAGTACCTTGTTCTTGTCTGGAAATGTGACATTACTTATCTGAATTGACCAAGACTTGTATGGTGGGTAGTTTGAAGTTAGATTCTGTGAAATATGTCAGTATTTGCTTTGTTGTTTGTTAACCTTGACGTCCTAAAATCTAAACTCAACTACAGTTATTCTTACACTTGACCTATTTGTTAGGTTTCACTAAAACCTACTGAAGTCATTAGAAGGCTGACATTGAATCAACAATGTTGCATTAATATAAATAGTGCCCTTGCCAGGCCTTTGGGACAACAAAATACCTCATTCATCTCATACAACACAAATCTGCTTGGTATAAACTCTGATAAAATTTCATTTGCCAAAGTCAAACTTGACCTTTTGTACCACAAAGGTAGCCTCATTAACATCTCATTAAGAAATTATCATTAACTCACTAACAATGTATCAAACATTAACAGGACAGATACAGGTAACACTATATACCATAATTGCCATGTGGCAGCTAAGGACAAATTGTTCCATTAACAGGACAGATATAGGTTACACTATATACCGTAATTGCCATGTGGCAGCTAAGGACAAACTTTTCCACTATCTACACAGATGGCAAATAGAAAGAACCTTAACCTTCTCAACAGATAAACAAAGTGGAAAGAATAAGATGGGTTCCCAAAGGCAAGAAACTTTTTCATCAACTTGGGTACACAACCTCTAATCTGCAATGCTTGTACCCAATCTGTACATGTGGAATATTTATTTAGGTGTCTATATTTACTCCATCTAATTAGCTAGAATGTTTACCCTTCAGAACTCCCCATCATAAGTCTGAATCAACTGCCACAGACTCTTACATAAACCACGAGCAGAAATGTTCTTCTTGCTGTTTACTTCAAAAACATTCCAAACCTTCTTTATCATTCAGAGTCCAAAATACCACATCATTACCCATTTAGCTGACAAAAGGTCCATGTTTATTGAAACTGTAATTGAGGCCAACACTTGTTTTATTTCCTTGTGCTCTGATTTTGGATATTTAGTAACAAGGTTTGATGTCTAACATTGCAGATTTTTATAGGTAGATCCAGTAAGGTATATACGTAACAGTATTGATTGTTGGTATAAAACAACTGGTGTACACTGACTGATTAACTGATACAGGTGTTAGTGAATCATCAACATCAGGAAGTGTTTCTATAGTGGTCCACTGATTTGGTCATAAACTGATA